CAACTTACACTTTCTATATTCACTCATATTTATTCTCCATCAGAACCCTAACTAGCCATCCTAGCATGTCATGTCTTGAAATTCAGAGCACAAGGTCATCTTCCAGGGGATGAGATCCTAGAAAACACACAGCTGGGGAGTTAAGTGCTAAGGGAAAAAGAAGCATGGGATCTAGCCAGGGAGGAGCTCATGGGGCAGGGGAGAGAGAGAAGTAGCATCAACTGGTACCTTCCTGTTTTAACGAATTATCCTTATTAGTGAAGTGTTAAATTCAGTTTTTTCTTCATGTTGATAGAATACAAGTGCTGTCACCCTGTAAATCTCAATACCCTGGGACAAAGCATTGATGGGCACACCCTAGTTATAGCTCTCCATTATTCTCTTTATTTTGTATGCTTTTCCTTCTATGTCGTTGTAGTAGTCCACTACAAAGTTCTACCCTAGTTCCTCATACAACTTGGTTCTGCAAATGGAGCACAAGCTGTTGAGAGGTTCTACCATGCTAGAATATAATCCCAGAAATAGACCATACCTGCTTTCCCAGGACCAGCCTAGCTAAAATGTGAAAAGGTTCATTACCTACTAGACTTGATAATGAATTCATTAGTTATGGCAATGTGGGCAAGAAATAAAAATACAAAATGACCCATAGACCTATTGACCCCTATTGATTCTGTGGTATGGTCTGAAAGTGGCGGAAAGGGAAGCCCAAAAAAAGCAGTCAGAATAAAACAGTTTATAGACCAACTGCAAAGGTCAATTTAGCCGTGAATACCCCAAGCGAGATACTTGCTACAAATGGGCATAGAACTATTAGAAGGACTGGACTAAATCAATCTTGTCATTCTCACTATGAACAAAACCAAAAGAGAGCAGAAAATTGCAATTAAATAAAATAATGGCCCATAAGTTGTCCTCAGAGAGGCAATTTTAAAAATTGGCAAAGTTGGATTTATTATGCATCCAAAACCAAGAAATCTCATTCTATAACATGTGTGAATATCTCTATTAGAGTAGTCTTGATAAGCACTTGGGGAACAAAGATCATCTTGAAAATAATTGCAGCTTCTACACCATCTGTTGCAAAGGATGGAAAGATGGAAAGGTCCTAGAAGGAATGCAAAGAGACTGTCCAAATTAATCGGTGTATATTTTGATCCTTGGTAACTTAAATGAAAGTAGGAATTGGCAAGGTGGTTAAAAATAAGCTTGAAAATATGGTTTAGAAGTAAAGAATGTGAGGGGTCAAAATTACATATACTACATAAGAGCCTCACACCTTTGCATCATGAATACTCTCTTTGAGAAAATAATCTGAAGGCACGTTAGATAGTGATCATCAAATGATATCTCAAAAACATGAAATTGATTATGTTAATAAATTGGAAAAGACTTCTTGATGGAGGAGTCATTCCAGAATCGTTTATCTATTATCTGTGAGAACAAAGATGAAAGTTAATAGAAGGTTAGAAGAAAGAATAAATATAAAAAAGGTATAGTGAATAATTAAAATAAATCCGACCTGACCTACCAAAATAGGCTATTGATACTGAAAATGGGTAATGGATGGAAGAAAGTAGAGCCAATTCATCATCACAATTTAATATAGAATTTTAATCAGAATTTTAATTTTAATTTGCCCTAGCAAAGCTAAAAGAACCTGAAAGCCACCATAGTCAACAAATACATTATTTACTTGCCAAGCAGAGATATGTAGAATCCAAGGGCAACATCAAGTTATACTATAAACTAATTTGCAAAATCTTACAGAGAATGATCATGGAAGGTGATGGGTTGTATTTTCTTATAAAAGATAGAGAAGCAGTGGAGGGAAAATAAGCTTAAAGAAATATTTGTAAAAGAATCAGCTAAGTAAAGTTAAACTGAAGAACATTTAAAGATGAAACTGGAACTACAAGTCAATGAAAGGTGGAAAAGATCTAAAAAGATTTTTGTAACAAACTGTTCATCATCAAGGACAGTAGAACTACTGCATTTGGACTGTCATATCATAGCCCCAGGCGTGCTTAAAAAGAAATAAAAATATCATGGAAGAAAGCCAAGATCAGCTGAACTAGATTAAAACTACACAGAGTAGATCTGTGCTGAAGATGACAAAATTTTGAGGGCTTTGAAGGGTTAGTCCCCAAGGTCTCTGAAGAAGGGGGAGATAGCAAAGGCATGGGGAAATCTTGTATTTATAATTATCAAAAAAAAGGTGACCGAGATGATATATATAACCAAAAACTCATATGCCTTCTTTCCCATTTATATAAAAATTTATGAGAATGATCCATTCATGTATTAAGGGCATCCTTGATGAGGATATTAGAAAAGAACAGGTAAACTTTCACAAACAATACTCCGTAATAGACCACATCTTTACCATTACGCAAATGATCAAAAGATGGAAAAAAATGCAAGATGAGTTTCTATGATATCCTATTTAAAAATATAAATATTTCTGGAAGAGAGAAAGTATTCAACTAAATCCCACTAAGGTATTACTGATTCACTAGCTTCATTTTCTCCTGACAACAGGAATCCCAGAGCTCCATGATAGTAGGAGTGGGAACTGGAAATGAAGGGCCCTCAAAGTCACATTTTCCTGGAAATTCACAGTTTCCTTTAGAGCCAGCCCCATTCACTCCTACTTAAATTATATACATATAGGTATAATATTATATTATATACATATAAATATATATTATGTTTTACATCACATACATATTATACATCATATATGTTATAATGTTACATTATAAAATAGTATACATAGAACTTTATATACATATACATACACACTCATATATATATATATATATGTATATATGTGTGTGTGTGTATGTGTGTGTGTGTGCATGAAGAGAGAAAGAGAAAGGGGAGAGAGAGAGAGAAAGAGAGAGTTTGTACATATTTGTTTGCCTGCTGTCTTCTGCATTGGATTATGAGCTCCTTGAGGGCAAGGACTATCTTTTGCCTCTTTTTGTATCTCTGGCGCTTAGCATAATGCTTGGCATATAATGGGCCTTAATAATTTTTATTAACTGATTGACTGAGACTGTGAGAAGGGATCTATGGTAGGCTAGAGCAGACCTATACACATTGCAAAGGATAAAGCAGGTCCAAGGCAGAACAGACAGGATTTCAAAGGGGAAGCTTCTAGGTTGTGGTGAGGCTAGTATTTCAAAAGAGAAGTCCATAATCTACTTTTCAGAATAGCTAGGATTACACACTGCTGGGCATTGAGGGAGACCGATGAACAGTATCTCTCTGCCCCGTGGGTAGCCAGAGAATGAAACTTTCTTTGCTTCATGCATCATGGAAATCTTTACATTGATGATGGGGTCTCTGGGAGCATCGCTGCCCCCAATCATATAAAATTGTCCAGCACAGGAGCACAGGGTCTCCTCAAATCCAGCAGATTCTTCCCTCTGTGCAGGCCACATTTACCACAACCTAACCATCTTGTCCATGAAGAAAAAGGGAAACAAGAGAAGGTCTGACCCAGAACTAGAATCAGACTATCAACACGTATCCTTGCTCTATATTTAACTATGTCCTTGTGTGCTAAGTAAACCTATTCTTTAGTCAGCCCCATGTTCGTGCTGGGTCAGATGTCTGCATCATCATGATTCCTGGGCTTAGGATGGCTTTCCAAGCCTCCAAGCACAAGCTTTAAAAATTAAACAGAGAAATTAATATTTTATCCTAGAAGCAATAGGGAGCCACTGGACCTTCTTGAGCAGGGGAGTGATAGAGTTAGATGTGTACTTTAAGAATATCACTATGGCTGCTATGTAGGAGACCCTGAAAACTGGGAGATCAATTAGGAAGCTGTTACAATAGTCCAAACAAGAGGTGATGAGGTTCTGAACTACATTGGTAGCTGTATGAGTGAAGAGAAGGAAACTGGTGTAAGAGAAGCAACTTAAAACTCAGTAAGATCTTGGGATCATCCTGTATTGTGAGAATAGAATCGGTAAGATTTGTCGTCTGATAGGACGTGAGGTCACTTACTAGCTATGTCACTGGACAAGTCACTTAACCCTGCTTGCCTCCGTTTCCTCTTTGTAAAATGAACTGAAGAGGGAAATGGCAAACCAATCCAGTATCTTTGCCAAGAACACCCCAAATGGGGTCATGAAGAAGGAGAAGGAGGAGAAAGTAGAGGAGAGGAAGAGGAAGAAAAGGAAATGGAGGAGATGGAGAAGGAGAAAATGAGCTGACTGGAAGGATGGTGGTCCCTTTACGATAAACAGGGAAATTAGGAAGTGAAAAGAACTTACAGGAAAAGGTAATGAAAGAGATCTGCTTTGGGCACATTAGATTTGAGGTGTCTATAGAATGTCTTGCTGGCGAGAGGTAATTTCAAGTTTAAGAAAGAGGTGCTGGATTATAGATCAGGGAGTCATCTGCTTAAAGATGATAGTTGACCCACGGGAGCTGATGAAATCACTAGAAGAAAGCAAAGAGACAGAAAATAAGAGGATCCAGAAGAGAACCTGAAATTCACCAATGAGTAGAGGGTTGGACAAGGATGAAGACACAGCAAAAGACACTGGGAAAGGAGCCAAACCTAAAAGAGGAGAAACAAGATAGAGCCCCTGGTGAATAATATTTTACTTTGGCAGGAATCCTTGCTCCTTAAGTTGACAAGATAAGATTGCTATTTAAGTGATTGGCTTGGTCTGAGGATAGTTAGTTGGGGGGAAATGTGACCCTAACTATTGCCCACCTGTACCCAATTGAGGAAGGAAGTGAGCAAAGCCAGAAAATAGGAGATTGATTAGCAGTAGCTATGAAACCCCAGCATCTTGCTTTCTGCTCTTCCTTTGACTTGCACTAGAGGGGAATAAAGCCCACTTAGTGCCTGCCCTAACATAACATGGGAAAAATAAGCCTAGCCTTTCCTCCCTTTCTTTTGTTCTCTGAAGTGGTTGTTATTTGAATTACCTTCCCCACACCTGTATCCTATTGGGAATCGGATTGGATGAAAAATGGGGCCATTGACCACAAAGTCACAATTGCTCTTATTGGTGGGAGAGGAAGGAGTGTCAGACAACTGCTGTTTTCTCACTCAGCGCAGGCAGCCCTTTCTGAGGGAGGAACACCTTCCTTCTTTTCTAAGGTATGCTTCCTTCCTTGCTCTGAGGTTTCTGTTTGGATTTCTTGAATTGCCAGTGTGAGAGGCTCTGTGAATATTTTGCCCTTTCTGTTTGGAGAGACTATTGTGTAGAGAGCTATGGTATAGTGGATAGAGAGTGCTGCTTAGAGCCAAAAAGACATGGGATCAGGCCCCACCTCTGGCATACTGGCTCTGAGTCACTGGTCAAATGTCTTAACCTCTCTCAGGGCTCTAAGCAACTCTCTAAAACTATAAATCTGGAATAGCTAGATGGTGCAGTGAATAGAGCACCAGCCCTGGATTCAGGAAGACCTTAGTTCTGGCCTCAGACTCTTGATACTTACTAGCTGTGTGACATTGGGTAAGTCACTTCACCTCATTGCCTTGCCAAAAAATAAAATTATAAATCTCAGAGAAGGTGTCTACCTGTGTTGTTAGAGGGGGCTTCCTTCTTCCAGCAGATCCCTATCCTGTTGGTTCTTAGCCTTAGATGCTATCAGTAGAGGGGATCTGGGCTATCCAACTAGAGACTATTTAGGATCTGGTCTTTAAATAGATTTTTGGCTTCATCATGATAAATCCGTGACAAGCACCTTGACAGAAGGGCCCACTGACTTCTAAAGGACAAAAATGAAAAGAAGGCTAGGTGAAGAACAGGTTGCCAGAATGGATAATGGAATTATTATGTCGTGTGATACCTAGTCTTTGTTGTCTGGAGTGACACGGGTATACTGAGGAAGTGGAGGAGAAAGGTGAAAGCTGTTTCTGGGAAAGACCCAAAGTTTTCTATTTCTTTGTATGCCACCCCCACCCTCCAAAATGCTGGGTGGTAGCAAGTATATATGGTTAATGCAGAATGAATGAATGGCCACTTCATTCCCATCGTAATAGAATTGGGCTTTCAGATTGAGGCAGCCTTCCCACCTTCATTAAATGCCCATGTTCAGGTGAGTGACTAAGAATGCTTTCCTAGAAAATGCTAAGAAGAATGCCTGTGTGTACTCTTTTTTTTTTTTACCTGACCGCATCCTTGATAATGAGAGGAAAGGTTAGTGAGAGTGACTAATTTCTATCTTCCACACAAACACACCTTTATACCCTTCCAAGTACGTCCTAGGAGTCTACAGAATTTCCTATTAGGAAAGATCAAAATAGGGAAGCAGGCAAAAAGCATTTAATGTGAACATAAGAGCTAGAAATAAAATTTAAGAAGGAGAAAATAAGGAGTTGTAGATAGCATGAAGGGACTCTCCTGTTATTGAGGGAGGAGGAGAATCAATAGAAAAGGAAACTTGAAGAAGAATTTAGAAAAAATATCTGTGGAATTAGGGTGTGTCCAGAGAAAGAACTGATGGAGTCTGGATGCAGATCAAAACATACTTTTTTTTTTACTTTATTTTTCTTATTTATTTTTTTTGGTTTGTATTTCCTTTCACAACATGGAAATATGTTTTTCATGACTGAACATGTATAACCAAATCAAATTGCTTGACTTCTCATTTGTAGGGAAGGGAGGGAAGGAGAAAATATGAAACTCAAAATTTTTTTTAATGAATGTTAAAAATTATTTTTACATGTAACTGGAAAAAAATAATATTTGGTTGTATCATTAAAAAAGAAATTAGAGTGTGTAATAAAGGGAGGAAATCTTAAAAGACAAAGTTACTGTTCTCTAAAATGGAGAGTTTTGCAGCTTTAATAGGAATAAAGCTCTGTAAAAAGCCAAAGGATGGATGGACCTAATCTCCATTTTCCTCATGCCTGACACTACTCTATTATCAAATTGTCCTGGTCTACAATGTAAAAAAACCTTAGCCCAGAAAGGTATTGATTATCCCTCAAAACTCCCTAGCTCAAGTTGGTGATGATAGAAACTGGGAATGTGAGCCCCAAAAAAGTCTGAATTCTGACAATGCTGCCTCTTCTATGGAGTATAAAAAATTCCCTAGGTCTAGAGGAACCCTCTATTTAGAAGGCTGGGGCCCTGCATTGACATTGCCCATCAGGCCAGTACAACCATTATTCAGGGCACTTATAGTACCATCCTACATTTTGTAGTTACATGCAAGAACCCAAGGTGCTTCCCTTCCCTCCCTCCAACAATGTCTTGTTAAACCCGAATGGATTAGGGAAGAGACCCTTCCATAGGCCTCCCATGCCAAAAGCAGGTTGTCTACATTTTCAGCAGCAAAGCCATGGAATGGTGGTGGCTAGGGGTTCTGGTTGCATCTGCGGTCCAGGCTGAAAGGGAGCTGCTCAACATTTGCATGGATGCCAAACACCACAAGAAGAAACCAGGTCCCGAAAATGAGCTCCATGAACAGGTATGGAATCTTGGCCTGGGATGGATTCATAAAATCATAGTTTAAAGACTTCAAAGCGATCTTGAAGTTACATATGAGGAACTTGAAGGCCAAAAATTGAGAAGTACCTTGTCCAAAGCCACACAACAAGTTTACAAGCAGAACTGAACTGAGACCCAGGACTCCTAACTCTGAAATAGCTAAATGGCATGGTGGATAAAGTACTAAATTTGGAGTCAGGAAGAGTTGAGTTCAAATCCTGCTCCCCAGACACTTACTAACTGTGTGGCCCTGGGAAAATCCTCTTTGTACCTCAGTTTTACCTCCCTATAAAATGAGGGACTAGGTCTCTAAATTCCCTCCTAGTTCTAAATCTGTGATCCTATGACCATACTCTCACTGCTAGTGTTTAGTTTACTTTTAGAAAATAAGTCTGCTGATCTAGTACTGACCTATGTGAATATTTATTCATTTCTAGCAAGCTTGCTTGTGGGCATATGTGAGTAACATCAAACTAAAGTCACCAACATCCTAGATCAACATAATTCAGAACTCTAGTAATATTCTGTTGTTGTTGTTCAGTTGTGTTCGGTCACATCTGACTCTCCATGACCCTATTTGGGGTTTTCTTGGCAAAAATACTGGGGTGGTTTGTCATTGCCTTCTCCAGATCATTTAACAGATGAGGAAACTGAGACAAACAGGGTTAAGTGACTTGCCCAGGGTCATCCAGATAGTAAGTGTCTGAGGCTGGATTTGAACTCGGGAAGTCTTCCTGACTCCAAGCCTAGTGCTCTATGGACTGTGCCACCTGGCTACCCGGGTAAGCAGATGGGGCCTTGTCAATGTCATAGAGGCTAGAGAGTACAAATGAGATTCTGTCTTGCAATCTTTTTCTCTACCACTTTATGCTAATGTTTCTCTCTTGTGCTATCTATCCTCAGGACCTTAGTAATAGCATGGCTGCACGTAATTATTCAAAGTAAAGTAAACTCTTAAGTAATCCCAGGTCTACCATAACTTTAATGTAATTGTTTCCCCATTCTATATATTTTCCCCCACCCCACAATATATACCTTGGCTGTCCTATGGAAAGTGGAAACAGCCCTATGTTGGGGAGATGGAGGTGTTAGGGCACTTTGCACCTCATTTGAGCCATCCAGAATTCCCTTGTCCTGTCTCTTTCAAATATCCTCCCTCCATACCCTACACCCACCCCCCCAAAAAAAAGAAAAGAAAAAGAAAAGCTTCTGGTTCTTCTGTCCTGCAGTGTAGCCCCTGGAAGGAGAATGCCTGCTGTACTGCCAACATGAGCTGGGAAGTTCACATGGATATGTCTTCTGTATACAACTTCAACTTCAGGCATTGTGGTGTGATGACCCCCAGCTGCAGGATGAACTTTATCCAAGAAGCCTGCCTCTATGAGTGCTCCCCAAACCTGGGGCCCTGGATCCAGAAGGTGGGTAGAGCTAGGGAAAGAGGCAGCCCAGAGCTGAGGCCTGGGAGGGATGCTAAACTGAAGAGTAGGCTCTGGTCTCAAGGTGCTCACTGCTTAGCAGGAAAAGTAAAGCACAAAACCACAGAATTAGAGCTGGAAAGGTCCTCAATCATCTAGTCCAACTCCCATATTTTGTAGATGAGGAAACTGAAACTCGGAGAAGGGAGGTGATTTGGCCAGGGTCATACATTCATCAGTAACATTTGAAAGGGATTATCTTGTCAAGTCACCAAGCATTTATTAAGTGTTTATTTCTAGGCACCGTTAAGTGCTAAGGATACAAATCCGAACAACAACAAAAAAAGACAGTCTTAGCCCTTTAGTAGTTTATATTCTAATGGAGGAAGACAACACATAAAATGGAAGCTGAAGGTGAGGAGAGGGAGAGAAGGAAGGCGGACCCATCCCCACTCCCCAATCCTTTCCACCTTCCTCTATATGTTGATTCTGGGAAGAAATCAGAAGGGCTGCAAAAAGGGAGGGAGAAAGCAGCTGAGGCGAGGTGAGGCCTTCGTTCTAGTACCCCAGAGGTCTTGTAGGAAGAGCCATGACCTCTTTCCTCTGGATGAGGATCGGCTTGGAAGAACTCCTCACATATGTAGAACAGGCATGTTTCTGGTTATGTCCCAGAGAATTAAACTGGGAGTGAGAGGGGGCTTAGGGTGACAGTAAGCTCTGAACGCAGAATTGAGCCTGTTCTTTCCTTCCTCTTCTCATCATCCCAGGTGAGCTCAAGTTGGCAGAAAGAGCGTGTCCTGAATGTGCCTCTGTGCTGGGAAGATTGTGAAGAATGGTGGGAAGACTGTCGTACCTCTTATACCTGCAAGTCTGACTGGAACAAAGGCTGGACCTGGAGATCAGGTAAGTGGACGGGCTGGGGCAGAGAGCACACCGATGCCTAGGATGAGGCTTGTGCATTACCTAGACAGGCTGGGCCTATGGCTACCTAAGCTAGCTGGCCTGGTGACTCTCTGAACAGCCACCCCTAGCAGGAAGAGTGGCCATTCCCTTTTACTTGAGGGGGCACGGACAGTAGCGTAGTACTGAGCTCCTTATCAATACTGTGCTTTCCTCCCCACGTCAGGTAAAAACCACTGTCCTCCCCGGGCCCTCTGTCGCCCGTTCCCTCACTATTTCCCATCTCCAGCTGACCTCTGTGAGAAGATCTGGAGCAACACTTACAAAGCCACCAAAGAGCGACGGGGCAGTGGACGCTGCATCCAAATGTGGTTTGACCCTGCCCAAGGTAACCCCAATGTGGCTGTAGCCCGCCTCTATGCAAGCCATGCCATTTCCCAGCAATTTCCCTGCATCGTGTTCTTAGCTTCCCTCCTACTACTTGCTCTCTAAGAGCATCTCTAACACTTAACACACAAATTCATCTCAACTGCCAGTTGGCCTCTCTTCTAGGCTCCTGGACAAAAGAACCTGGGACTTTACTCCGTCTGGGGCTCCTTAAGCTGGAAAGAGGTTGCCCTTCTGCCTCCTTTTATGCATGTCTGTGGGGAGATCAGTGTTTTGCTTTATCTGATCCCCTTCTGACTTTTGGACTGCCTTGTAACAGAAGTGGCCTCCGTGGATCAACTCTACTCCCTCAAGAGGGACACGGGCTAGGTCTATCACTTAACCTCCCAAGGAACCTAAAAAGAAGAAACACAGGTCTTGGGTTCTGACTACTTTATTTCCCTCACTTTGTTGGTCCCCTTAATAAAGGGATAACTTATTTGTTGTTCTGAGTGAATTTTTGGTCTGGTTACATACGGGCAAAACAACTTGGGAAAGGGCCAGTTAATCCTTTAGATTCTAATATTTAGGGGCAGCTAGGTGGCCCAGTGGATAGCGTTCCAGCCTTGGAGTCAGGAGGACCTGAGTTCAAATGTGAGCTCATTCACTTGACACTAGCTGTGTGACCCTGGGCAAGTCACTTAACCCTGATTGCCTCACCAAAAAAAAAAAGTACTGTTTCTTTAGATTCTAACATTTATCTGTTTGCATTCACATGCAGGGAGAGGGAATCTCCTACCGACTGTCAACTTGTTTGCAGCTCTGTTAGAAAGTTCAGTGGAGGCAGAAGTTGGAACCATTGCTTATAATGAGCAGGGTTTGTCGATGAATGCAATTATCCAGCTTTCCCTGTTCCTCATTATTTAGAAAAACAGGGAAGTGGAGGCACTGTGGTTTGCGGAGCTCTGTGCCTTATGGTCCTCACTGTCTGCTGCAAGGAGTCCATTTGGCTTCTGTGTGAATGATGTTCATTTCAGATGACTGAATCAGAGTTGCTAGGACTTGAGCACTAAGAAGAAAAATGGAAAAGGGTCAAGATTTCCCAGACAAGTTTTCTAGTTGCTTCTTCCCTCCACCCTTCCTGCCCAGTTTAAAACCTTTGTGTGTCCAGGGCTGCCAAGAGCTTCTCCAAACTGCATAATGCCTTCTTCATATTGATTTTGCCAAAGGTACAAAAGGTACAAAAACTGTCTCTCTGATGCTCTGAGTGCTTCAGCCACCTAGAGAACTTTATGTACTGAGTGTTAGCTCAGCCTGTGCTGGGTGACCCCAGTAACCCTAAAATAATTGGCATCTGTCTCAGTTTACAACTGACAGTGGACTGCAAAACTTGCAAACTCAAGGACTTTGAATGGGAGACACAGCCCATGGCAGATAGAGGCCCCTAGCCTTGGAGTCAGGAAGACCTGCGCTCCAACCCTACGTCTGACCTAGCTGGGTCACCATAAACAAAAAAGTCTTAACCTTTCTAACACTCACTTTCCTTATCTAGAAGACAGGAAGGAATGCTATTTCCCTCCCACTCCATTCAGTTGTCCCAGAACTATAATCCACCCCAGGTATAAATGAGGTATTTAAACTACGTCTTTAAAAAATGCATATACACATATCAATTTGCCTGATGACTTTTTTATTTTTAAGAATTCCAATGCCTTTCCGATCTGATCAAGAGAGGAACGATTTGACTGAGAAAACAAAGGAGCCATGTATCAGGGGGCTTTAAATAACTAAAGAGCAGAAACCCAAGGCCTTTAAGACTTAGAGACACATGTGGAAGAGACCCTGGGGTGTGTGTGTGTGTGTGTGTGTGTGTGTGTGTGTGTGTGTGTACAGGATGTCCCAAAAGTCTTAGTGCAATTGTAAGCTATTAAAGCTTAAAGTCACATAGCTTTAAAAAGGGAGTTATTCAACCAATAGGAGATCTTTTGGCATTAGATCCTATGGGCATTAGAGAAACATATTCCAAACAGATACAGAAACAAAATGGGGATAATCATGGCAACCATCTCACATTGGTGTTATGAAGCTCAAAACAAATCTATGTCAACCCCACCCTCTGACCATGAGGCTTAGCGGCTGCCAAACCCACCACCCCTCTTCTTGGACCCAGCACTTTCTGATCTTCCTCGCAAACTCAAGAGGCTGGCTACACGTGAGAACATCCACAAGAACCATGTTTAGTTACCACTCAAGGAAGGAAGCAGGAAAGGGAGTCAAGGGACAAAGCCACCAGCTTCCTTGGTTGAGCCCATGTTCCATGTGGGGAGTAGCCCACACCATCCCCCAGAGCCAAAACAAAGAATACTCACCACACAGGAGCTTCATAGCAGAGAAGGCCATGCCAGAGTTAATCTTTTAATTGACCCAGCATCCACCCCTACCTCACTACTTCAGAGGGAGGAGGGCAAAGGGACCACTAAAAGTTTTGCCATGGGGGCAGCTAGGATAGAGTGCCTGCCTTGGAGTCAGGAGGACCCCAGTTCAAATATGGCCTCAGATACTTGACACTTACTAGCTGTTAGACCCTGGGAAAGTCATTTAACCCCAATTGCCTCAAAAGAGCAAAAAAAAAAAGTTTTGCCATGTCATACTGAAATAAAATCTTTTCATGTGGCTGGAAGCAGGCCCCAAAGCTCCCACAGGTTCCACCAGGACCAAGAATGGCTGCTCTAAGCCTGTTCCATGAAGGCAATGGCCTCCATTATGCCGCAGAAGATATGGGGTAGATGTGATGATTTATCCTCACACTGAAAAGTACTAGTCCTTTTAAAAAATACATATTTTTTTAGAATATTCATTAATTTCTGAAGGGTTGTTGAATGTTTACTAGATCCAAGGAGGGATGCAAAGAAATATAATGTGTTCCAAACTCCTATTACAATTTTAAGAATAAACAGATTAAATTACATTAAGATTTTTTGGGATACCCTATACAAGATTCATTAAACTGTACAGAGCTAGATTTATATAGAGCTAGAAGAGATCTTGAGCTCATCCAGTGCAATCTCCTGTTGTGATACCTGGAAAGAACAAACAAACAAAACCCTGAGATGCTGTTTGTGGTCAACAGATTTTTTTTTACTTGCAAAACAAAAAAGATACACAAAAACAGATATCTCTAAATATAAACTCAATTTTTTTTAAAAAATAGGGCTTCTTTCATACAAAAAAATCACAACAAAATCGAAGGAAATACTCTTTTTCTGGTTGACTATACTAACCAGGTACATGAATACTGGGAGTACAGAAAAACAAACTCAAGAAACATTGCTTTTAAATGATACAGGTGATATATGATACAAAAAAATAAAAACAAGCTATAGATGGTGTATAGCACCACCAATTAACTACAGTAAAGAAATGTCTATTCAACCAGGACACAAGGTATAAGGAATTTTCCACAAATATTTATTATTGTTCAGTTCAGTCATTTTTCAGTCTTATCTGACTCTTCATGACCCCATATGGGGTTTTCTTGGCAAAGACACTGAAGTGGTTTTACTATTTCCTTCTCCAGTTCATTTTATAGTTGAGGAAACTGAGGCAAACAGAGTTAAAGGAGTTGCCCAGGGTCAAGCAACTAGTAAGTGTCTGAGGCCAGATTTGAACTCCGAAGGATGGGTTTTCCTGATTCCAAATCCAGCAGTACTCTACTGAGTATCTACTAAGCCACTTAACTTCCCATTATGCATTGTTTGTGTGTGTGTGTGTGTGTGTGTGTGTAAAACACATATATTAAATGTCATAATAAAATAACATGATGTTATATATATATACATATATACACATATATACATATATATACACACATATAGATACATATATGTATATATAGATATAGATACAGATGGATATACACATATATATACCCCACAAACTATAGCAATTCTGTGACTGCTGAAAACCTTGATGGAGTTATCTGGGGTCAGAGTCAGTTCAAATCTATTTCTTTCCTCAAATTTAAACAAGTAAGCCCAAGGCTATATAGGTATTAACTCAGTCAGGCTCTGAGCCAGCTGCTCTAACTCTAAACCCAATGTAGATTGTAAGCTCCTAGAACTTAAATAAATTTAGTAAGTGGTAAGTAGTCCTCCTATTGCGTCATCAAAAAGGCTAGAACAAGTGCACACAGGCTTCAGGAAGTCTTGCCAAGCCTGAAAAGCTTCAAGTACAAACCTTAAGCTGTTAAGGCATCTAGGTAATGAAGTAGATAGGGTAATAGGCCCAGAGTCAGGAAGACTCATCTTCCTGAATTCAAATCTGGTTTCAGGTATTTATCAGCTGTGTGACTTTGGGTGAGTCACTTAACCCTCTTTGCCTCAGTTTCCTCATCTGTAAAATGAGCTGGAGAAAGAAATGGCAAACTAATCCAGTACTTATGCTAAGAAAACCCCAAATGGGATCACAAAGAGTCGAACACAACTGAAACAACAAAACAATGAGCCATTACTCCACTGGTCCTCAGACCATCTCAGTAGAAAGAGGGTTCTCAGGAACATCCTTGCTCAGATGTAATAAATGTTTCAGCCACAAGGACTCTCAAAGCCCATCCTTAAGTGAGCATGAGCCATGTTAGTGTAGTGTGTTTCCAATACTAATAAACATCACAGGTCACTGAAATATTGAAGTAAGAACCCTGAGCAATATACAAGGTATTTCATTGAATTGGATTGGGGGAGACCTTTATCTGTATCTGCCCAGGAATCCTTTCAGCATCCCTGTCAGGTTCAACTTCCATTTGCACACCTCCAATGAAGGGATCCGAATGACTTCATTTAAAATGAATAATATAATATACATGGAAATAATGATCTAATTTTCCATAGTCAGACAAAAATATAAGAGAAAGGGGACAGCTAGGTGGTACATTGGATAGAGCACTGGCCCTGGAGTCAGGAGGACCTAAGTTCAAATCTGGCCTTAGACACTTGACACTTATTAGCCGTGTGACCCTGGGTAAGTCACTTAACCCCATTGCCTAGCAAAAACAACAACAACAACAACAACAAAAATATAAGAGAAAGGAAAAATACTTCTATAAAACATCCTTGTTAAAGGAGCTTAGAAATTTATTATTTTATTAACTCTGAATACCTTCAATGATTTCCCTTGAAGTTATGTGAACACATGTTAAATGGTTTTGTGATTTGCTTACAAATATTATAACTATATACTTTTAACATCTATTCAGGCTAGATTTTTTTTAAAGAAAATGAATTTTATTTATATTCCCATGAACATTTAGTGCAATTCCATAAATAATATTTCAAGGAGGTATGCAGTCAATTCCTAGCTGTCCACGTTAAGAGAGAGAATTGGTAGGAAATAATTTGAATAACAAATACAGGTCAATCCCCTCCAAAAAACAAAGCAATCAATGTTAAC